TAGCGCGTGCTATTGTTTTTATTGAAATAATCAATTCGAATTTTTTTATTTTATTACTAGAATCATATTGTTTGCCAATAGCTGGTCAAAGTTTCTTTTTTCTTTTTCACAAACTACTTGTAATTTGCTATAGACATAGAAAAGAACGCTATTATCGTGAGACAAAATTTTTAAAGCAATGATCAAGGATTTAATATAATGATCAATGGCAAGATTAAACAGCTGCAATGCCACGAGTACATCATCAAGCATACAATGAGCAGAACCTAAACTAGGATGGATAGGAGTATTCAGATAATACTTATAAAGTATACATAACACTTTTCTGGATAGTTCACTTGCTTTTTCGAAGGCACCTTCGGCTAAACAGACGCTAGTCTCATGCATGTAGCAAAATGCTATGTGTTATTGGTCTTGATCTTGATGTTCATTGGAATTCATTTGCCCCATGGACAGTGGTTTTTGATATGATATATGAGCTCGTCTGTATTGTTTTCTAACTACGTAAACATGACCAATTTCATCATACACAGATGCAACTTCCGCACAATGAGTCTTCGAATTGATCGTTGCAAAAGTTGTAAGTGATCTTTTGTACCAACGCAAGCTTTGCTAATAATGATGTTGACCGCTTGCAATGTTGCCCATGATTAGTTGACATTGTACTTGTTCAACAAGATTAGTAGGTGGAAGTTCTAGTAGAATACGTCGAAATAACTTGGATGCAAATTTGTATTTTCTCATATTGCAAAGAAGTAAACCAAATGAACTGAGAGGTAACTCAATTTCCTCGTTGTTTGCATAATTATAACGTAAGCGATGAAAAAGATATTTTAATTCATGTTCCTCTTCGTTGCTCAATCTCATTTTCATTATCCAGATAGGATAATGTCCATCATCCTGTTCTTCACAGTGAACGCTCTTCAGATAAAAGATTGAGCCAACATCGAAAAGAACTTCTTGTTCTTTAGGTATCGCAGAATTTTCTTCAATAATAGCAAATGGTTTACTTCTACACTTTGGATCAGCATCAATATCGAAGATAACAAGTTCTTCATCACCGTCTGTTGTCTGAATTTTTTGTATCGCCTAGATATTGCATCGCTACATTTCTATCGAGTGTTGTTGATAAAAACGGGGTGTAGATGTGAGTATTACTATGTCCCACACCCACACCCAAATAAGAACACCAAAACATGCCTCTGCAAGTGACATTAGGTTACCATAGCCGTATCTTAGGACAGGAGCAAGGAATAGGTCTGAAACTTTCACAATAAACCACTCTCATTGAGACCTCATTCTATACAAAGTTTCAAGTATGGGTGTGGGTGTGGGTATTGTTCTTTTCTTCCGCAACACCCATACCCACACCCACCCACCACTTACACCTCACACCCACACCCACACCCCACATCCACACCCTGAAAGCGAGTTTTATTCTTGTATTGAAAAGCGGAAAGAATGCGGAGAGTGGAAAAATCAGGGAAAAGGCCAAATAGTGGAAGAGATAGCAACCCTGTTTTAAGTGAACTAGTGTTAATCTACCAACCATGCCTAATACTTTTTCCAATAAGAAACCAAACGTATCGTCTCTTATGTAATACAAACTTTTTTTATCAAACCATATACACCTAAAATATGACACCTATGATTTTATTGGATTCCGGAATAAATATGAACTTTTCACGGGCATTTTCTCGGTATTAGACAGAAAGACATTGTTTCCGCTCTCATTGGCGATTGAACTACTTGGCATGTAGAAGTTGTTGATCTAGAATAGAATTCCTCTCATTCACTTTTCACCGTGTTTGACCTCTAAGTGTTAAATAAGAAGAAAAAAAAATTATTCGATCGGTTATTCGTTAATTGATAGTAAATTTAGACTAAACATAGAAATGCTCATTGTTTTCATTGACGACATCGGTCAGATAGAACAGATGAGTATAGATATACATTCATAAGAAAAGCAAAAAAAAACGAATGACAAGCATAAATATGGAACATTCATGTGTTCGTCTTGGGGATTTACCAGATGAAATTCTTCTGATTATTTTCCAAAAATTATACAATTGTGATGTACTTTATTCTTTCATGGGCCTTAATCAAAGACTTGATACAATTCTCTACAATAGAATTTTTACAAGAAATTTATCATTAATAAAATATGTTCATAGGTCATCATATCAATTTAATATAATACTTGATCGATTTTCTCTTGAAATTTTACCTAAAATCAATGATAAAATTGAACGACTTAGTATTGAATCATCATTTATTAAACGTATTCTTTTGGTAACAAACTATCCTAATTTACATGCTCTTGATTTATATGACTTTGAACCTGAAACAGCCAGTACACTCTTCCGTCGTAAGATATTTTTCTTCTATACTCTTTCAATGATTACTTATACAAGGCAAATTTATTTGAAAATATTTTTTAAATAATCAGAATTTGATTATTACAGGCATAGTTTTTATTTTTAACATTAATTGGTAGATATCACTTTGGAAAAAATTCAACATAAAGATATCAGTTAAAATAAAACAAATGTTGTTTTGTAGTATATTCAATTATAATTCTTTCATTCTCAAAATAGAAATTCTAGACTATGAAATAGAAGATTGAGATAAAAAAACATAGTTTGGACAATACATTACAGTCTACTAAAGAATTTAATTGACGATCATTGAACAATTGATTTTTATGAAAAAAGAAAAGAGAATAGAATATTTTGAAGTTAATAAACAAAATAAAAACTAGAAAATAATTTAATAGAACATTTTTATTTTTTTCTTTAGATGGAAGCTATTTAGTTAATCAATTTCAAAATCAAATTTCATCAATTTTTATCAAGTTGAAACCGCGTAAACAGCGAATAGATGAATTAGGATATAAAACACAGGACAATAATATATTTATATTTATTAGAATCTGTATTCTATTCAAGAATCTACGATACTTGAATTTCAGTTCATATTCTTATTATGAACAATTAGTATTTTTGAGTACAGCTCCAACTGAATTCTCTTCAAATTTATTAGAATTACATGTTGTAGTAAAAAATATCTTAGATTGTCTCTGTCTCCTTGATGGTCAGTTCAATCAACTGCATACGTTTTATGTTACGATTCTGCCTTATAATAGGTATGATGGAAATATAGTTGGCAACCATGTAAGCTACGCATGTATTAATCTCTTTTTCGATGAATAAATAATATTTACGAATATAAATTACTTTTTCTTTCGTGTTCTTAGAAGCAACTACCCAATTTAAAATACTTTTCGCTAATCCATGAAGATAGAACATACATGTATGATGATATTTTGGTACCACTATTCCAAAGGATGACAAATTTGGAAGAACTTAGCTTGTATTTTATTAGTATACATGGACCAATTATTGATGGTGATAATTTGGAAAATAATCTCGTTAATCATATGACACGATTAAACAAATTCACATTTAACATTTGTTCAGTTATTTCTCTTGATCAACTGATTAATGTACCATTGAACGAAGATATTAAATATTCATTTCGAAACTTTAAAAATAATCAAATTATTTCAAGTGTTGATTATTTTTCACGAACAGAACTACTCTATTGTCATGTGTATTCATATCCATATACATGGACATTTTATCATAATATAGCAAATAATTTTCCGGGTGGATTATTTAAATCTGTTCGTGAAATATCATTATATGATGATCATCCTTTCGAACATGACTTTTTTCTTCGAATTACTCAATCGTTTCCATTTGTTACAAAATTAACTATACATAATTATGAACCACAACATAATAATCATCTTGAACATCCAATAATTAAATATTCTCATCTTGTTGAAATTGATCTTGTTAAAACTCATGAAGATTATCTTGACGAATTTTTAAACAAGGCAAAGATATGTTTACTAAATGATGTTCATCTTCGTGTATGTTATAATTCGTTAAAAAAAGTAACCAACGATTTTACAAGAGATGAAACACGTATTAATTGTTCTAAAATCATTCGTCTTACAGTGTTTGGTAAGATAGTAGAACATATAAAATTACAAGAATATTTTTCTCATGCAAAAATCTATTGATTATTGTCAGATATCATTGAAATAAAATTTGAAATAGAAAGAAAATCATGTTTGATATTTCATAGAGAAGAGATAAGATCAAAATATTTGTCAAAAAGATTAGAAAGAATAAAATACGACTTATGCAAATAAGAAAAAAAAACTTCCGTAGAAAATAGAATAAAAACGACTAATACTATAATTTATCGCGAGTAACCCAACGAATTTCTTCCTATGTTTTTTCTTAATCTAATTGGCATTCCTCTTGATATTTTTCGTTTTTGAATATCTGAAGATTGATTGATTCACACCCTAAGGGTGTGGGTGGGTGTGAGTGTGAGTATAGTATTGTCCCTCATCTACACCCACCTACCTCACACCCACACCCACACCCACACTTCCACCCACACACGCCCACACCACACACCCACACCCACCCTCACTTGTGCCCGTACCTGAGACCTCTGAATAGTCTACAGCATCAGTTAGTGCAGGGGCGGTGGAGCGTTTTAAAATTAAGTGAAGTTCAGTCTAAGTTTATTTTGTATTTCAAAATAGGTTCTCATATATGAGCTCAGGGATTCTTAAAGCACTCCAGCTGATATACTGCTTTAGACTGTTTAGTGCCGCTCTTGTTAGAAAAAAAAAGATTATTTATCTTGTTCTGTCTTCTACTAATAGTTTCAAAATGTTTGCTGAAAGATAAAGATTTCAAAAACTTACAAGTCTAATTTATTTTTCATTAGAACAATAGTCTTTAAAAGGCTTGTCTGCTTTTCATTTGAGGATATAAATAGTGACATAATTTGATTTGGGCCTATTACATCAAGTTTTTCTTTAAAAACATGTGCCAATAAACAATGATTGAGTCATAGATGTTCGCAATGTATCTTTCACTTGATTTAATACACTAAAGGCCCTTTCAGCCGTTACGGTGGTTACTGGTATAGTTAGGTGAAGTCGAATTAATTTATCAATTTTTTGAAACATTTATTTACCAATATCATACATGTTTAATATTTGACAAGTAGTAGTCAAGACCTGCATGACCATTTCATCGTGACAAAAAAAATAAATATTCTTCAGCAATAGTTCCCACGGTGGATGTGACAAAGTAATTCTGTTTGATATATTCTACTCAGAATTTTAAGCTCTTCAAAATGACACAAAAAAGTCAAGGACAGAATGATCTACGATCAAGAAAACTGCGGCACATTCGCCGTAATCAGATTTGTTCACGAAGCTTTTTGATTACGACGAATATGTTGTAGTTTTCTCCGTCGCAAATCATTATATCCTCGACTTTTTTGTGTCGTTTTGAAGAGCTTAAAATTGTGAGTAGGAAACATCAAACAGAATTATTTTTTCACATTCACCGTGGAAACTATTATCGAAGATTTTTTGTGTTTTTTGGCCACGACAGAATGGCCACGCAAGTCTTTAAATAGTAGAAATTTCCGTGATCTCTTTTATCTCCATCCGATTTGTACTGATAACAGCTTTAAAAAAAGCCTGAAACCATAGCTGCTTCACCTTTCAATTTGTCAAAAATCAATATCACCATGACAAAAATCTTCAATTGTTTTAATATACTCATTCGAATGTGAATTATCAAGTGGTATATTAGCTATACTAAGAATAAATTTTCAACATTACATAATAATCTGAATTTTGTTTTGTGTAAGTCGAGTTTGAAGCATGTTAATAATTGTTTATAATGTGTCAGTATGTTGTTTCTGATAAAAATCTTCACAACTTGTATAATTTACGAGGATTCAATTTGAATCATGCCCAGAAACATTCTCTATACAATTAATATAGATAAACATGAGTAGGATATCATATTTTTATTAGTAAGTAAACTAAAATTATAAGTATATCATACTGATACGGTTGTCAAATTCGATAAGTTGATAGCAAAATAAGGTAAGCAATCAAATTCTTCAGACTTTTCAAGTTTTAGAAAATTTTAAGGACTATACATTTCGCAACACAAAGTTAATGGAATGAACAATTCTACGCACAAAAGAGATAATGATATTTGAAGATTCTCTTAGTTGTTTTTGCGCATGCTCTCGCATAACTCTATCATTCGGTTCATGTGTACACCATTCCATGTAAACAAAAAGTGTCACTATGAACCGTAAAGTTACTATGTTTATGGTATGTTCAAGTTTTTTTCTTTTCTTCAATAAAACATCCACAAAAACTGGCGTATATTTTATTTTTTACGATAGAATAAAATTTTTATTACAAACGAACTTGAGTTTGCATACAAGTGACCAAGTTTTAAATTTAAAATTTTGACGAAGCTGAGCCTACAGAAGCCAAAATGAAGTAAGACTCAAGCCTCATCGGGCCTATACATTCCGCTGCCACTGTTGCAAAAGAACTAAACTGAGGTGGCAATTAGCCTATGTTTAATTCGAACATCTTCACTTCGAAAGGTGAATTTATTATCATTTAAAAAAATAATATCAACTGAAAATACTAAAGGAACCCGTTGTAATATTATTCGTTTTACCCAAACAGAAACAGAGAACCTCAAAAAGTGAAATCTCCACTGTTTTCCATTTGATGATAATACATTTGTCTGAGAACATTTGACTAAAGAAAAGAAGCGAAACATCCTTGTGTTCTGAAAACGTAATCGTTCTCAGCCTCTATGCTGTCGAAGATTACAAGAATATGCAATTTTTCTTCTCATCATATAAAAACTAAAATACAATAGGATTTAAGGTACAATCTGAGGCGAAAGAAAGTTGATATGCTTTAGGCATTGGTTAGAACAGATTTTGTTGAGAAGTATCTGTTTATGCTCCACAATTGTTTGATTTTATTACATGTGAACAATTCCAAAAGTATTTCATTAATGAAGTGTTTGACGTTACGTTGAATGAACATGATGAAAAATGTTAAAGTCTTTCGAAAAATGTTGCACACATTTAGACCATATTGTCAATTTTTGAATCCATAAATTTTGTTAGAAAGAATAATATTCGAACTACAGATTTTGTATTGAACATATTTTCCCAAAATGAATCTCAGAAGGAGAAAACAGTAATAATAGAGTGTCTCTATGAAAACGTTTTTGCAACTTTGCCATCACACAAAATCATTTTTCTATTTTTCATTAAAGTTCTTCAATCAGTAATGAAGTGGAAAACACACATTTAATGATGATTCTCGTAGTGGAAAAAATCGCTCATACCAATGGTATATTCGAAGTTACATCTACTGTAGGTTTTTATATCAAGGTATAGCTATTTCTCAACGAGACTGTATACGTGGGAAATTTTCTAAAACTGAAGAGTCAAGTATGGTTTTGGAATATTTTACTTAAGCTGATATCAATAGAACTTTTGATATGTTACATTGTGGTAAAGTTTTTTAGCAGAACTCGGCCTATATAGCTCAAATAAAATGAGAAACAGAAATTTTTCATTGGTACAAAAAAGTTGAAAACATCTTTTGTTAGAAATGTTCGATTTTTGCTTTGCTTCATGCTTAGATTCGTTCTGGAAAAATATATATCGTATAAGAGTTTTAGTTGAGATATTACTCTTTTCCATAAAAAAAAAACGGAATTCATAGGTTGAGAAGCTGTTAAGATCATGCCACAGAATCTGACATTTTTTAAAAAGATTTGCACCGTTTGTTATTTTCATGTTTTTAAAGTAATAAAAACAGTAAAAACAAAAAAAAGGTAAATTTCTGGAAAGACGAACCGTTTCTTGATCATAAAAGAATGCGAGTTGTTTTGATATTTTATAGGCAGCTTGTTGAAATTTTCTTTCAAACAAAACACTTTTAAATTTTCTATGCATACATTTTGTTGAACCGCACCAGTCGTATGGAGTCATGTAATAATATTGTAAGAAAAAGAATAGTTTTCTCCCTTTCCGAACTATTAACATTTTATTACTATTCATAAACTCTCGAGTTTGAAATTTCAATGCGTTCATCCGTGAGTTTATTCAACATTTTAATAAACTAACTATATGCATGGGTTGCTGAATACTTTGTGTAAAAAATCCAACTGCAATCTACGTAGTACTGTATTAAGGGAAACGGCAATGTACTGTGGCAAAATAAAAACGAAACAAATCATTACATATAGTGATTTGATGAATACAAATGCTTCAATAATGAACTAATCGTTCCTCTTTATATTCTGATAAGATTCTCTAGATAGAAACATGAGTAGCGTATAATCGACCACATATGA